AAAAAAAAAAAAAAAAAAAAAAAAGCACACAAAATACAGGTTGATTCCCAGTCCTTGCAAACTTCAAGCATGTTCAAATCTACCTCTTATTGGGAAGGAGTTGAGTGACAATTGGAGGCCATTACATGACCACACGGGCAGAAACTTAAGGAGGCGTGCTACAAATGTTATCAGGGGTAAATTACTCAATACCTAGGAAGTTTGTTAGATTGGTAGTCAAGGTAGGCAAGTATTCTGGTAAAGATTGAGGTGTGAAACCAGAAGCTTCTGCCAATTCGAACCATTCTATTTACTGTAGCTATTGAACAAAGTCGAACTTTTATCTTTGTGCCACGTTTAGCTAATGATTGGTAGGGCATACTTTTAGAATTCTTCAATTTTTCCCGTTTAGAATTCATTTCATAAGGTTCTCGGAGCTCACAACCACTATGTCCACGCAACTGCAGCAATGTTTAGACTTCCAGTCAAGCAACTTCATGAGATCTTCCTCCCCCAACAAAAAAAAAGTGGCAAAGAAGAAACTACTTTCTGAGGTCCTATCACACAAGGCCTACAACGCCAGGGTAAATTAGTTAGAAACCAATTCTTGAACAGGCTTTGCTTTAAAGAATAGGTAAGAGATGGTATTTTGAGATTTTGAGAATATCATATACCAAACGTTATTTGTTCCTTTACCTGCTTTTACTTCTATACGGCCTAACAAACAAAAGCAAGCGACTGCATGTTTGAAACATAGTAAGAAGTATATAAATCATTTAGTCTATATCAAAGCGTACCATAATGGATTCAAGTCCACATCCAATTTTATCTTCAGCATGTGGATGATGAGCTAGAAGCCTGTCAACCACAATTTTCTCATCCTCAAATGTCAATCGCTCCCCATCGACATACCTAGTATACAAAAGAGAGGTTCTTAAGAGAAGGCTAGATAATATCTTAGGAGAAAAATGTGATAGTAAAACGAAAACTTGAGCAATATATCATATGGAAAAGTGCCAAATGAGACCAGCTCATGAACATGCCAACCTTGCAAGAGGTATGCTCCCCTTAAGGTATATATTACACTCAAAGGCAGTTCTTTGCAGAAGAAGCAGAAAATCAAATCCCAAATCCATGAAGAAAATTAAGAAAGGGCACATACAACATACTGACATTAAACCCAATTCCATTATTGATTTCTTTTTACTACTATAATGCCTTTGAAAGCTTACCCGTAGTTGGTGAGGAAGCCTCTACAATATGATTGCCAGTTTAACACCATTAGAAGTGCGAAAGAGATTGTAAAACCCTTTTACTTTTGTATCCATGTCTAGTTTTAGGTCTACATCCACGGTTATTAAGAGGCAGCTAGATTGTGCCGACCTCATTGAATAATTTGAAAGCGGTTATCATATTTTTATGAATACAGAAATTATGGGTCAAAAGTGAGAATAACTCAATAGTACATAAGTTTACATACTCATAATTCAAATTTGTAATACTAACAAAAAAGGAAAAAAAAAAACCTATATAACATATCACATTGAGTAAAACTGGGAATAAGGAAATCCTAATAACTGTGATCATTTATTAAAAAGTTAAAGCAAACACATAAGGCCCATAACATAAAGTACAAACTTTCGGGGTGAAATTACGCGAACAGGACAAACCTATTGGAGTGGAGGATCTCCTTTGTGAGGGATATGATAGGGTCGATATCGCTGAGAATTTCCTCTTCCTGATTCTTCCACTTTCTATAACCAGGCTCATCCCACCTTTGGTACTTCGGTGGGTCAGTGGTACTCAGTACAGAGGTTGTATTTTCAGCAGATGATAAGCCGCCGCCCGGTGGAGTAGACGCCGGCATCGCAGTGCAGCAAGACCGGCGAGTCACCTGCAGGATCCCAGTACATAGCCCGCGGTTCCTGAGCCCTAACCGAATGAGAGGATGCCCCCTGAGCAGCAAAGAAGCAACCATGATGATCAAATGTTCATGTGGAGCGCAGCTCTGCGGTGAGCATGAAGCAAGTAGACGTAGCTGCCTTAATCTTTGGCGATGATGATGCTAATACAGCTCTGTTTCACGGACAGGCTATTGGGCTGGTTTTATTGGGCCATGCGGTCTATTGCCGCGAGTTTGGACAGGCCCAACATTGAAGGCCCATTTACGCATTATTGCAACGAATTGAAATTGGTATAAATATTTAGAGAATTATGTGAGAAATGATGCGAAAACAACATGGCTTACCAAAATTTGTTAAATTGGAAGGGCTATTAATCCAAACTAAGAAAAGAATTTAAAATAATAAAATATAATTTAGTAAATGTTTTTTTATCTTGATTATATGGTTAAGAAATTTGTAAATTTAGTATTTATGGTGAAAACGAAAATTAATTTAGAAAGTTATTAGTTTCCAACTCAATTTATGTCTTCTCAACGTGGACCTTTTTCTTTTTTAGAAAATAAAAAAGAAATAATTTATATAATTATTGTTTGAAAAAAAAAGAAGAGGAAAAAGGAAAAGAAAAAGAAAAAGAAGGAAGAAGGGCACAATAATTCATCTTTATTTAAAAAAGAAAGTGGAGGGAAGAGAAGGGATCCGAGTCCATGAAGACCACGTGGGGTCGCCCGCTCCTGATTTTATCTCACAGCGAAGGTGACTAATCTATTCAATAAATAATAATAATAATAATAATAATATAATAAAAGAGTTGTAAAAGAAAATAAAATAAAAGAGACTTTTAGAAAAGCCCAATTGGAATTTGTTTTCAGGTCCGTCATCTTGTTTCTTTCTCGCTCTGCGCGGAACGGAAATCAACGGAGCAACAACGTTCGAAATCGAGACCCTCAACCTACGTCTGTCTCCGGACTCCGACCTCCTGTCTGCGTTTGATTCATAATATTCCAAGGGTTCAAACCGAGATTTTTACGGCTCGCCCTGAATGGGCCAATCAGCTTCGTCGGCTGCGATTCTTAGCCGCCGCGACAGCAATTATAGCCATCGTTCTAAGATCAAATCAACGGCTCTGATCTCCCCGATGCACCTGGATGAAACCGATGACTTTCGGGAAATCATTCTTGGAGCCTCCGATTTCATTTCTGATCTTCCGGATGAGTGCTTGGCTTGTATTTTCCAATCCCTGAGCCCCGTCGACCGTAAGAACTGCTCTCTCGTGTGTCGCCGCTGGCTCAAAGTGGAGGGACAGAGCCGTCACCGTCTCTCCATTAAAGCTGAAGCGGATCTTTCCTCCATCATACCTTCCCTCTTTACCCGATTCGATGCCGTTACTAAACTTGCTTTGAAGTGTGACCGTAGATCTACCAGCATCGGAGATGAAGCTCTTATTCTCATCTCCTTTCGATGCCGTAATTTGACTCGTCTCAAGCTTCGTGCGTGCCGTGAACTGACCGATGTTGGCATGGCTGCTTTTGCCAAGAACTGCAAGGGTTTGAAAAAACTTTCCTGTGGATCTTGCACATTTGGAGCCAAAGGAATGAACGCCGTTCTTGATAATTGTTCTGCCCTCGAAGAATTATCGGTGAAGAGACTTCGTGGTATCACTGATTCGACTGCTGAGCCGATTGGGCCTGGCGTAGCTGGGTCATCTCTCAAAACCATTTGCCTAAAAGATCTTTACAATGCACAGTGTTTTGGACCGCTTGTAATCGGTGCAAAAAATATGAGAACTTTGAAGCTCTTCCGATGTTCAGGCGATTGGGATACGTTGCTCAGATATGTAGCAGAACGAGTGACTGGTCTTGTTGAAGTCCATCTAGAAAGACTTCAGGTAAGTGATGCAGGCCTTTCAGCAATCTCGAATTGCTTGGATCTGGAAATTCTGCACCTCGTTAAGACCCCGGAGTGTACCAACCTGGGCATTGTGGCGGTAGCAGAACGATGTAAGCTCTTGAGGAAGCTACACATTGATGGATGGAAGGCGAATAGGATTGGAGACGAGGGTTTAATATCGGTTGCCAGAAATTGCTCTAACCTTCAAGAATTGGTTCTCATTGGGGTGAATCCCACAAAGGTAAGCCTGGAAATATTGGCCTCGAATTGCCGAAATTTAGAGCGATTGGCACTGTGCGGAAGCGATACTGTTGGTGATAACGAAATCTCATGCATTGCCGCAAAATGCATAGCACTGAAAAAGCTCTGCATTAAGAGTTGTCCTGTTTCGGATCAAGGTATGGAAGCGCTTGCTGAAGGGTGCCCAAATTTAGTGAAAGTGAAGGTTAAGAAATGTCGGGGAGTAACTCCCGAGGGTGCAGATTCGTTGAGGTTGAGTAGAGGATCGCTTGCCGTGAACTTAGACAGTGGTGAACCTGAACATCCAGATGCAAGTGCAAGTGATGGCGGGATACAGGATAATGTTGTTGATTTTCATCCGATTCCAAGTCAAGTTGCGCCGCCTATGATTGCATCCAGTAGTGCTGGGCGATCTTCGTCTCTTAAGTCAAGGTTAGGCCTTTTGGCGGGGAGGGGTTTAGTTGCTTGTACACTGAGAAGGTGGTCAGGTGGTAATAGTAGTACTCGAATTAATACTTAGACATCAGGAACGATGCAAGTTTCAAAGCGTAAACGCTTCTCGTCTTGTTCTTTTGCATTGTTTTGTGTTTGTGTTGCCTTGATTCCGTGTTTAGTGTATTTAAGTTCATGCTGTGTGCTCTCTTATTTCTCTTCTTGGAATTAAATATTCACGCTCCCCGCTTTCTTCTCATAATTTGGAATCTCTGGGACTGATAGATGTTTAGGACATGATAGATATAATAATTTGACGTCCACTACTTAACAAGCGTTTAAGTTCATCTGTAGTAATTGGTAGACACTCTGGTGCTTTGTATCTGTCTCCGAATCCTTGCAGGCACATCCTAGAAGCTGCAGATTATTTTGAAAAATTTGTAATGCCATATTGCTCCTAGAAAACTTGGTTCTGTTTACATTCTTTAAAATCTTCAAATGTTATAACATGCCTGTAGTAGGAGTACCTTCCTTCGATGACCATTTTACAATGAACATCATCTTCATTACTTCGACTGACTATGTTCCATGACATGACATGGTCATATGCACGGAATTCATTATCTTTCCCATCGGGCTTCCTTAACCATGTCCAGTTATTCTCATGTGGTCGTGGAGATCTTTGATGTGCTTGTATCAGTATACTAGATACATTTTCCTACTAGTGTGATATGATCACTCCACTGGATGTTTTAGTTGGTATCGGGAAGAACTACCAGCTTTATCATCCTCTCGAACAGATCAATTGGCTCTTGACTGATCCACAAGTGGAGGCTTGTATGGTATTTTTACGAAGGAATGTAGGGAGTTGGTTTTAATAATTTTGGTTTGGTTGTTTTAGTTTTCTAATACTTGGTTTGTTGTTAGATCTTCTATAAATCGAGGGTTAATCTTGTATTGAATAATTCCTGATCATAATAAACTCCCTTCATTTGAGTTTTAAGCTACATCACGAAGGCCGGCAACATGTTGATGGCCTGCTTCATAATCGGTCATTTATTATGGAGAGACAAAAGAAATTGCCTTTCAAATGTTTGATCCATGTGTTGATCTCCATATGATTCTGATCATCATTAGCCCTTGTGAAAATTACCCCTGAAGTTTTTTGACGAGACTCTATGTGAAGGAGACAAAGGTAGCTTACAGCTTGCTTTGCTTTGCTGTATGTTCCATTGAGATTTGTTATCGTTTGCCGTTGAAGTGTGATAGGGAAGGGACCTCTTTGTTCACAGGGAGACCGAGGGTTCCTCAAGTCTGCTGGTGAAGGTATCGTTGACTTGATGCATGTATATACTTTCTCTTTTATTTTTTTTCTGGATACATTATGAACTTTGAAGTTGTACTAAATGGAAGTTACCATATGAGATAAATGGAGCTGTAGCCAGTACATCGGAATCTGCAACGTAATACTTTTTGAGAAGTTAACATATCATCCTGATTTTGTTGTTGTTGCCCTCGTTGTTAATTGCATTGCTGATACACAATATCTGTTCATTTTGTCATTAACACCGCATTAAAGATGCCCTTACCTCCCGCATTTATGGGAGTATTTTAATGCATTTGACCAGTACGGAGCTGCAGTATTCTGACCTCCAAGTTTCTTTTAGCTGGGTCAAACATTGCAGCTCCGTTTGCTTGTTTATCTAAACAAATTTAAATAAGAGAGTCGGGGAGGGGCCGTCAAGCCCATAAATAGTTGCTTGAATTGAAAGTGGAAACCGGTGCTTGGTCCCCCCCAGAAGGAGCAAGTTCATATGAGGTGGTTGGATTGGATCTCACATCATAGGTGTGCAGTAATTCTGGGAGAGCTGAATCTGATTGTTGTATTCATCTTTTTCACCCTACAAAGTTGTTGCAGTTTCAAGAAATAGCCGAGCTCTTTAGGACACTTTTGTGCATGGTCTGCTGAAACCATGATTCCGTTTGCATCCCAAATAAACAGTAGAATTGACTTTTGTCCTTGTATAAATATTTTGTTGTGTGAAGTCTGTTTGTTTGCCAGTTTACATTGTCCGTGTAACAATTAACACTACAATGTCTATATAACAACTAACATTTGTGCCAGCTGCATAGAAATGTATCATGTGCAAGGGGGAAAGTGTAGGCATGACACGACAGGAAAGAAGTGAAGATTGACACCATATATTAGGTACCATTATCATCCCTGGTTTGTTTTTCCTCAGAAATTGAATCCTTTAAGTGAAGTGATAATTGAGAAATGCTCATTAAATGTTCAATATAAAGTCCATCCATATAGGTCAATTAATCAAACTTGGCCTAATTCGTTTAATCCAATGAGTTAGCTTGTATGGATAAACTTGGCCTACTTTGTATGTGTTAATGCATAAGTCTATTACATATGTTATTAGTTTTTCATATACAATGTGCAGTCATTACAATGTATAGTATTGATATAGTTGAGAGTATTATGAATTTTGTTTATGATTCATATCCTGAACTTTTAAAACTCATATAGATATGACAAGGTATAATACTTATACAGTTAGGTGTATTATGAATTATATTTATGATTCGAATTCTGAACAAACCAAAATACAGAAAAAAATTGATGGTGGGGCAGAGACTCGAACAGTTCCCATATGGATACTGTTTTTCATAGGATGAACAAAAAGTCGGTAGCGGAAAAATACTAGAAAAGCTCTCAAATTTAATCTACAACATCCTTCAACTTTGTGTTTAACAAAAAGCATATAATTCAGACATCTTGAGGTGAGTTGTCAGCGTGGTGGAGGCGAGTAAATATCAGAGGGGTTCAAACCTAAAATTCAAGGAGGTTTAATCAGCCAATTAATTAGTGTTGCTGGATAGCAAAAGTAGTAAGAAAAAAACAATGAAGAAATGAAAATGTACCTGGTGGGTATTGTGGCAGAGGGTAGCCTAGAGGTGGGGTAGTGGTCGAATTATAGGCACAAGCAGGGGCAGCCGGTGAAGGAGATCCATACGGTAGGAATTGGGACCATTGGGCGGCGGGTCCTGTGCCATTTGGTTGTTGTGCCACAGCTGAATTGGGAGGATAGGAAGCATTTGGGCCAACAAAAGATGCAGGCCTCGGCGGCGGTCGGGCGTCATACGGTAGGAGTTGGTACAAAATCGGAGCTTGGGGTGTACCTACAGGAGCCGTAGAACCCAATGTTGGCGCTTCGTAGATTGAACCTTGGCTTTGAAACTGCGGCAAATCAAGATAAAAAGAAATAACTATTTCCGCTTGTGGTTTGTCGATAAAAGAGATGCAAGATATAGAGATTACCCTAGAACTGGGGGAGATTGCAATGTGAGTCGTATAGAGCCTGCGGGCCTTCCATCTGTACTGTGTAGAGTCCAGGTCGAGTCAACATAGCCATTGAAAAGTACTTGTTGTAGCTCAACTCCAAGGACGTTAAGAGGAAAGTTTGTGACACTCATGGTTAGGGGTAATTGAAAATCAACTGATGGTTAGCTCATCTCTGAATTAAGGTCGAGCCTTACCTTAGGAAGCTGAGAGCTTCTTTGTTTTCCAAGGACCGATTGGTTAAGTCCCAAATGTTCAATTCTACAACTCCTTCAATGAAGTCAAAAACAAATTTCTCTTAAAAAATTGGGTGTGAGCCTCCACCTAACCATTTGATTCACACTGTAAGAATCTAATCCCAAATCCGAACTTATATGAAACAAGAAAAGCATATATATACCAAAACATGGTCTAGTCCTCTTCGTCGAACCACCATACACAAGGATGCATGAGTATTCAGTCGCAAAAGGACCTCTGTCCTCCAAGTTGTTGCATCTATCAACTGTACAACCATTTAAAAAGGAAGAAAAAGACATCAAAATGAAATCAAGCAAAGGATGAAGATGAAGATGAAGCAAGCCCTGCTATTAATTCCTCTAAATTAGCTTGCCCGTGACCTCAAGTAGCCGTCTTGTTGGCCCTTGCGCTCCTCCCCAGAATGCCATGATCTTTTAACAAATCCTTAATCAAAACTGTATGTGCAGTTTTGTAAATAGTCGTGTGAAGGAGGGTGGAAGGAAACGAAAAAAGTCAACAATATTTGAAGCTAATTAATTAAATAATCCAAATTTGCAAAGTCAACTCTTGTGAGAAGGATTAGTCTCTAGCTGTATTATGACTTAATTAACTCGTTCAATTGTTTAATATTGGAGGTGTCAGCGCTGACTCGGAAAAATTCCCCTGACGTGGCTGCCAATTGTTTTTATCACCATCTCACCAATCATTGCTTTGCTACTTTGAGCACCTATGGTTATTATTATTATTATTATATAAATAGTCTTTACTACTATTAAATTTGGAATAAAATAGATAATTTTGTAGCTTATACATATAAAACGAAATAATAATCCTTTGAAATTTTCTTTATTATTAATCCACGTAATCGGAAGATATTCACTTCCTTTTCATTGAGTTTGGAAATGGGCTTGAGTTTGGGCCTGATCCTGGGCCTGGTCCTGGGCCTGGGCTGAAAAACACCATTCCCTCCCGTTTGAGGTATATTAAGGGGATTGGGTGTATTACCCAAATAAAATACTCATTTTGAAAAACATTAAAAAAAAAAAAAAAAAAAAAAAAA